TTAGTAGAGACGGGGTTTCACCATGTTGACCAGGATGGTCTCGATCTCTTGACCTCGTGATCCACCCACCTCGGCCTCCCAAAGTGCTGGGATTACAGGCTTGAGCCACCACACCCGGCAGGACATCCTTTTTTAAAAAATCACACATTTAGTCCTGTTTTGGTTTTTGCAATCAGGCCAGGCGCAGTGGCTCACACATGGAATCCCAGCACTTTGGGAGGCCAAAGCAGAAGGATCACTTGAGCCCAGGAGTTCGAGACCAGCCTGGGTAACATAGCAAGACCTCTTCTGTATGCAAAATTTAAAAGTTAGCTGATTGTGGTGGCATACACCTATAATCCCAGCTACCCTGCAGGCTAAGGTGGGAGGATTGCGTGAGCTCAGGAGGTTGAGGCTGCAGTGAGCTGTGATCTCACCACTGCATTCCAGCCTGGGTGACAGAGTGAGATTCCACCCCTACCCCTGGCAAAAAAGAAAGATGCAATCAAAAGGCCTGTTGGCCAGCAACAGCAGCAGCAGCAGGCAGTCTGCCCAAGTGTCTTAGGAATCAGAAGCAAATAAGAGTGTTTGCATAGATGCCACCACTTAAGTGGCCATCCTAATTCAAAAAGAAGCTGGCCTTTGGGAGGCATGGTGCATCCATTTCAATATTCTTTCCTAAAATGAGAAGCCTCTGTGCTGATGAGACCCAGGGGCTGGAGCCCAATGCCAAGCCTGTGTTGTCTCCAACGACCCTGCAACCGCTCGCTCTGATGTGCCCTATGCCACTAAAGGCGACATGGCCCAGGAAAGTGAGCCTCGAGGTTTTCAGATAAATCATTGTTTTGCTTAAACGTTCATAAAACCTGTTTAAAATACCTCCCTGTCTCAAACTTTCAGCAGTAACAGTAAGCTGAATGCCAGGTTCTACGTTAGCTCCTGGGCGCTCAGCAGCAATAGTGAGCATTTGGTTTTCTTAAGGCCAGCAAGACTATCAGGGACATCTCTGATGAAGCTGGAATGGTGACCAGTGACCTCAGGCTGAAAGTCAGTCGACATTGGTCTCTTGTGTTGACAGGAAAGCAAATCACACATTCCTATTTCTTTAAGCAACAAAACCACTAATTGCCACTCAATGCTAGAATATTTTGGGTCATCTAATCACAGATTTCTCAGGGCATCAATACTCAAATACAGGCTGATCACGCACCAGTTCAAATGGGAACTATTAACGGAGTGCGTTTCTTGCTTGCTGAGTTTCAACAGACATCAGCCAAAAGTACAAAAGAGATGTCAGGACAGATTCCAGGAGTGTCAGAGCGCATGTGTGGCACTCACCCCCTCTGGCAGTCAATGCAGGAAGTCACCAGCTTTACCCACTCTTCAAAAGTCATTGTTTAAACATGGTTCTTCATTTTCTCAACTTTTAATAGCAAAAAGTGCCAAAGTCCTCAGAGACCAACCAGCCTTGGTCTATCGTGACCAGAGTGAAGGGACAGCGAGGGGCTCCTCCCAGACGTGCTTCTCGTGTGCCAGTGGGCGGTGGCTCGGGAGCAGACAAAGGCCTCTCCACTGTCCAAGGGAGACCGGCAGCGCATCCCTCCTTTCCCACCGCCTGGCACTTCCAGTTGGGTGTCCCACGCGCTGGATTCTGTCCCCATCACACTTCCAGAGGCCAGGGGACTGCGCAGGCCTAAGGCTGTTTGGATGAACTGTCAAAACAAGATGCTTCCAGTTACAGCGGCAGGAGCAGGACGGGCACTACAGGCTGGCGGCTGCTGGTGCCTTTCTTCCCACCGTGCTTGCCAGTTTCGCCTTGACCTTTCCTCCAGCTCTGAGGACAAGAGTATAAAGCATCTTCCTAAAGGGTGTGTTTGCTATATGAACATTACCAATGTGAAGTGGGGCAGAAAGAAACCCAGAACTCGGCATTCAAGGATGCCCAGGAGAGCTGTGCCTGTTTTAGAGTTGTGTTTTGTTTTGCATTTTAAGAGCAGAAAAGGTACCTTTCTGCTGCCCTGATGCACTTCTTACACTGGGCCATTTAAGGCCCCAAGGGAAAAACCTGCCTGGAGCATTCATTGTCTGGAGCTTCCAGGGACAGGGCAGCCTCCCAGGGCTGAGCAGGGGCTCAAGGCACAGTGAAAGATATCCCAAACCATGAAAAGTCAACAGCTTTGCAACCACTTCCCGGCAATGGACAATGTAACGAATACCTCAGCGGGTCCTGCGAAAGGCCGTGCTGGGCTGAGGCACCCACCCGCACTGCGGCCTCTGTAGTTAGGGCAGGTGGGACACAGACTCCTCGGGTGCGCACGCCTGAGCCTGCCGACACACAGTGGAGCGGCAGCTCATATGACGTCCGGAAGGAACTTTGGTTGTTGAAAGGGAGCCTTGAAGATACTCACCTGCAAAAGGTGCTGCCCCAGTTTGATGAAACTGACACTGGGCATGACCTGGGCTTAGGAGAAGCGGCCGATGGTCCCGGCCTGCAGGGACCACCCCCGCCCCCAGCACGCCCTCTCCTCTTCGTCTCTTCCTGCTGGCCATGCAGACCAGAAGTGGAAGGAAACGTGCATCAAAGCAAGCCTGGATGAAACTGTGACTTCCGAAGATCTGACTCCTCCGAGCTTGCACCTGTGCCTCTCTGTGTTTGATTCCAAGCACTTCTCCCCTCAAAGTCGCATTTTCAAACCACTGTGACTCCAGGCACATTTGATACTTACCAGCCACATACATGATGGAAGGTTTTTTGGTTCTGATCCAGTGGCCACACCTGTCTTTAGAATGTCTCAATGAACTCCAGTTTTAAAATGGATTCATTGTTTCAACCCAGCAAGCCCAGTGCACCCAGCTAAGGCTGGCTTGACTGCCAGCCTGGCCTTTGGTGGGCAGCTTCCTGGAGCCTGGGGAGAGCTGGCCACCTTCACCAGCTGGTACCTTATTAACAGTGTGGCCTTTCAAAAAGCAGATGCCAATAGGATAATGTGCCAGGTGCCCACAGCTCATCCCCCATGGATGCCATGGCTCTGAGCAGCTTTCAAAGCAGGTTCCTGTGTTCTCCTCTACTCCTCAGCTGTTTGAAGCTGTAACAGCAAATCAGCCTCCAGATGTAGGGCCTGCCCGGCATTGCTGGCCGCTGGGTCCCGGGCACGGTGCACTTTCTCCACCTCCTGCTGCCTCCCTGTTATTTCCGGACACTTACACCTGGTGAGTGTAAGGACAGGTGACCCAGGGGCCTGCAGCCTTGCCCTCAGCTCCCATCCCATGGCCAGCAAGACTACCAGGGACATCTGCAGTTAACTGTCCTCTGCAGTTAACATGGTTGGCCTGATGCAGGGTTCCTGAGAGATTACTTTCTAGACATTCTTTCACGTTCAGACACCGCTGTAGATTCAGGAGAGGCAAGGAAATTATGTTGTCCATGGAAATCACCCATGAAGACTGATGCCACCACCTGAGGGCTCATGAGCATTAACAAGTGTCCACGGGAACCTCTCGTCCACAGGAAGTTTGTGTCAACACTTCCCATTTTTACGCACTGGCATTGCCAAGCATGGGGAGGTATTCACTCTTCCCATGTTAAAAGTGACCCAGTTTCTCTTAACTCGGTCCACGCTGACTTGTTCAGCCACACTGAAATTTCTTACCAACCACATCTTTACACCGAGCAAAGGGGGCTGTGTGTATCTCCGTGATGGTGACAATGACGGCAGCTGTCATTCAAGCCCACCTTCGGACATCCCAGTCTGGAAGTGAAATGTCCACAGATATCTGCGGCAGAAGGGCTGGAAGGGCCACTCGGCTGTGGTGCAGCTTTACAGAGCAATGAAGGGCTGTGGCAAACAAATGCCGATTAACCTCCCTCGACTGTGCCGCGGGCAACCAAGGCACATCTCACCAAGGGATTATTCGATGCCATAAAATCATCCAGTGGCCTTCCTGCTTCCGAGTCCGTGGCCCCTACCCAAGGCATGCATTCTTCTGAGAGGCCTTCTGCCGAGAAAGATCTAAGATTGGGCTCCCAACGGTTGAGGTCTAGGTTTTTGCTAGGATTTATATATTTTTAGGTGCCATTTTGACAGCATTCAGGAAAATGGTCACTGACCCCATAGACTGGGGTAAGAATAAAGGCAATACAGTCTGGGCACAGCAGCTCACGCCTGTAATCCCAGTACCTTGGGAGGCTGAGGTGGGTGGATCACGAGGTTAGGAGTTCAAGACCAGCCTGACCAAAATGGTGAAACCTCATCTCTACTAAAAATACAAAAATTAGCTGGGCGTGGTGGCGCATGTCTGTAGTCCCAGCTGCTTGGGAGGCTGAGGCAGGAGAATCGCTTGGTCCTGGGAGGCAGAGGTTGCAGTGAGCCAAGATAGTGCCACTGCACTCCAGCCTGGGTGACGGGCAAGACTCCATCTCAAAAAAAAAAAAAAAAAAAAGAATAAAGGCAATACATTTGATCTGACTCAGAATATAGGAGATCCATATATTTCTCTGGAAACCACAATACACACTAAAATGTGAAATTGGAAGTTTTGTTAAAAATATGATGAGCTTCATGGTTTGTTTAATTACATAATGATTTCCATTGTGCTATTTCTGTGAAATGCAGCAGGTTCTTAAACGTTATTTCAGTGGCATGGGCTGGAAGCTTATCACAAAAAGCCATGTGTGTGGCCCTCTTATGAGAACAGGAAGAGGGGCTGGTGCCCAGGGCTGCCGCCTGCTCTGCCTTTTGCCAGCTCTGCGTTATTTGAGGACATCTCTACAGATCTGGAATGGAGCTGTCAACCGACCATTTGCTTCTCAAAATTTCAGTTTGAGATGTGAGAGGTATGATCAGTTACTTTTCTCCCCCCAGACAACCCCTTTTGTGAGGGGGAGGAGCTATAGAATGTGGTTCAGCTGAAACACGTGCAATGACATCCTTCTGGAGTCCTTTGCCAACAAAAACAGACCAGACCGTGTCCATGTTCAATGCCGCGTCCCGATGGAAGCAGCTGACGACCTCAAGTACTTGAGTGGTCCTCGTGGCTGTCGGAGGGACTATTTGCAACAACAACAAAAAAAATGAAAAGAAAAATTGATTTTTACGTCAGAGACAGCAAACTCAGACCTGGGTGGGGGTCAGCTTTTTTTTTTTTTGAAGTTTGCAGTTTGGGTCAAATGTGAGAAGGATGTGTACCTGCTGCCTCTTTTCTAGCCACTCTTCTGCCCACACCCAGCAGCAAAAATTCACTCATTTAATGAACTGATAAAGTGCTATGCAAGCTGGCGCACAAACAGGCCCCCAGCCTACGCACCCTGGCTCCCAGGAAGAGTGGTGACCCAAGCGTTGGGGGGATGCTGCAGTCCCGGGAGACACATTCGGGCACCTTCCCCGGACCCCTGGGCTTGCCTCAAGTCAGAGGGGGTCAGCCTTCCGGCCCCGAAGAGGAGCGACCTTTTTCATGTACCTCACAAGAGATGAATCCCATGTAGTGCTCTTTTTGCTAAGATTACAGTGTTCATGTTAAATATATCACTTTACTTTTTCTACATTGTGTGGTAAAAAGAACTATGTTAGTAGCTATATCTTAAATACTGTGATTTGAGATTTTGAAAAGCATCCTAATACAAATATCTTACTAACTTACGATCATTCATCTAATAACAAACCTTTGGATTCTTTTGAAATCCGTGTTAATTGACTCATATTCTTAAAAAGCCTGGCTCTTGAACCTATTGGAAACACAAAGGAAACTGAAATCAAACAACTAAGATACACTGCGCACGTGTGGGCGCACACAGCTTCCCATTTCACCTGAGCCACGCAGAATTTACTTCCAATGTGGAAATCTCTTCCCTTTACCATGCTGGGCATGCACAGAGCACAAGAGAGCCTATCTCCAGTCACCTCCACCAGCAAGGCCTTAGACTCCAGGTTAGAGGCCACCGATTTCATACGACAGTGTTTGGCTAAAGACCCTCACTATTCCTGTTTAGTAAATCGCTGTCTGCTCTTCAGGGAACTGTTATCTATGGGTTATTACCAAAGAACTTCGGCAATTGGAAATGTCCTGATGGAAATTATTTGCACATGCCTGTTCTCTGGCATCCTCCAGGTGGCCCAACCCAAAGCGTAAAGCAGAAACCACAGACCCTGTGAGTCTCCCCATACCTTGTTTCCTGTAACGTGCATATTGGTAACGTCCTCTGGGATCCATAATGTCATCATGCTACAACCCTAGGGGAGAAGGTGGACAGACGCACACAAGAACGGTACAGATCCCAGGCAAGGACTGGGCTCTCTCCACGCATGCCCTTACTATTCATGAGTGCCTTATACTCTCAGTATTTCGGGGCTTACAGCTTCTTATTTATGCTGAACAGGTGCAGTTCCAAAGCAGGAACTGCCGCGCAGGCTCCAGCGTCTTCTCTCCATCATACCTCTCTCCGGGTGGGGGGAGTGGGCATCCAGGACCTCAGGAATCAAGGGTGTGCAGAGAAGGGCAAATGTAATTTTTCTAGTCACATGAACTTATTGTTTCCAGGCAATTAGAAAATGGCCATAAAATAACCTTAATTTTTAAAAAATCTTGGGTCTTCATTTTCCTCTTAGGAGACTGAACTGACCACATGTATTGATTTCTGTCCTGACCATATGGGAACTTCTGTGTGTGGGATGTCCTACTGTAAGACTGATGAATGTACAGAGTTAATTTCAGGGTTACAGTTTTGCCTTAATGGTTTTAAAAAATAAACTATTTTTTAAAATGTGCTGGTGAGTTTTGAGTGATGCTGCGGGACGGGTAGTTTGGTCTGAAAGAACTGAGTCCCCAGCTGTGTGGTCTGCCCTCTGCCAGAACAGCCCCTGCGCCCTTCATGGAGGTGCTCTCCATCTGCAGAGTCCCTTTTGTGTCCTTAAGCGTACAGAATGGATCTAGGACAATGTGGATCCGGAACACGACATCCTTTCCTCTGAAGTCACAACGGGAAACTTCTGAAAGCAGCGGGCATCTTAAAATACATCGGTGCAAACGTAAGTCAGCAAAAACTCTTTATTCATCCCTTCATCACGTGACAGTTGGCCTGGAGTAGTTATAACGACAGAGCAGCTCCTGCCTCTCAGAACTCTAAGCAGACATTCCAGAGAGCACAGACCAGTGCCCTGCCAACTGCTACCCTAGAAGCCCCGGGGAGATGGGGAGTCTGGAGGAGGGGGTGCTGCAGGCACTCCCGGCAGGCAGTAGGGCCGGGCTTTGCAGGCACCCAGGACTGTGTTCGAGATGGCAGGAGGCAAGCAGGCAGGCAGCGTGATGGTCTTGAGGTGCGAGGTGAGGACAGGAAGTCCACAGCATTCCTGACTTGGGATTGTGGGAGACAGAATGCAGGGGCCCGAGCTGAAGCCAGAGCCTGAGGGAACTGGAGAGGCTGGAAGCCAGCACTCACCTTCCCAGGAGACCCCGGCCATTGCCAGGCCCAGAGTACCCAGGGAGAATGTCGGGTATCCAGACGTTTTAGTGGAAGATTCCTTTTTCAAACATTAGTTGGGTTTTAATTATAAACATAATACATGGTTAAGATTAAAAACATTTTCCAAGCATCACATAAGGATATGAAGTAAAAATTTTGTCACCCTCTAGACCTCCCAGGCTGGCTCCAGAGGCAGCTGCTGTCAGTGATTTTCTTTACAGAAAGACCACTACAGTCACCTACGGTGTGCCCCGGCCCCAACACGGCATGGCATCTTCCTGCACATGCACCTGCAGGTGGCCTCTTAGGAGCTGCCCCACTGAAGGAGGTCATCCCTCTCAGTCGCATCTGAGCAGCACTCACTCAGGCCTCGGCGCTGAGGGGTGTGCAGGGATTCCTGGCTGTGTCTGGGCTGGCACCTGCCTTTGGGCTACCTTGTCGGCACAAATCCCTGGGCCTGTGGCTGCTCCAAGCTGGGCTCCAGCTCCTCTGGGCTCCAGTGCTGCTCCCAATGGTCCAGAAACAAGGCCAGGCACGGCGGCTCCCAGCTCAGCAGCATCCCCGGCGCAGGCTGGCCCAGGAGCTCTGTGCAGGGTGAGTGCGGCCCCAGCTGCACTCACATCCGAGAACCAGGCTGGCTAGGGGGCCTCTTTGACAGAGCTTTCCTTTTCTCCAAGTCTTGCCGAATTTCCTGAGGAAAAGCACTGATGTTCTCCTGGACACAAGGGAGGCAGAATCTCTTGGAGTAGAATAAACTGCACTCCTGAAAGAAGGGGACAAGGATGGAGGCTGAGTATCTTGGGAACACGGTGCAGCTCCTCCCAGGGGCCAGCCCTTCCCACACTCAGGAGGCTGGGCTGGGGCCCCAGCATGCAATGTGGGCACGTAGCCAGAGCTAGACCAGCAGGAGGGAGAGCCGGGACTCAGGGCCTGGCGGGGTGTCCTGGAGAAAAGCAGTGCAAGCCTGGGCTACCCTGGAGGGAACAGCTGGGATGGGACAGAAAGACTCTGGAGCCTCTCTGCTCCATCACGGTGAAGTGACAATGGAAAGCGGGAGCACAGGCCGTGCTCAAAAGCCGGAAATCCCAGTCCACCCCTCCCAGTTATCACAGCAGGAACAGTGGCCACTGGTGCTGGGAGCAGCAGGGGACAGGAAGGACAGCCCTGCAGACCAAAGAGGCCGTGGACGAGCTAGCTAGTCACTGTCCGGCCATGACGCTCTCCTCTCTTATACACTAGAACTTCCGAGATTCATCACGGCGCACAGCACGTGGCTAAGGATGACATTCCCTAGCCCCCTCTGCAACTGGGCATTGCCATGTGACTCAGGCTGGTCAGGGGTGTCAGCAACTGTGTGTGCCACCTCCTGGTCATGCCCTTTGAAGGAGTGGACTGTGCTCTCATGTCCCTTCCTGCTGGCTGGGATGCAGAGATGATGCTGGGAGCTGCCACAGCCACAAGGGACCCAAATGGAGACTCTGCTGAAGACAGCAGCGGTGCCTTTCCAGCCAAGACCACCAGTTCTGGACTCTTAAATAGGAGAAAGTAAGTAACGATTTGCTTTACTTAGGTCGCTCTCATTTTTGGTGTCTGTCTGTTCCTAAAGTTTAGCATGCTCGCAAACATCGGGATGCCCTCCTGCAGCTCTTAGAAAAGACCCTTTGCCATGGAGATCCGCTCATTAACAACCTACTGTTGAAACAAAGCAAGCTGCAGACTTGTGATACCTGTGTGTGCCCCCCTTCCTGACCCGCAACCACTAATCATGAAGAGCAGCCCAAAGCCAAGGTGTTGCATTCAAGACCTCCCCGCCTGGCCCACCCACCTTCCCAGTCTTCCTTTCCCAGCTTCTCCTGGACCACCAGCCTCTCCATGTGCCTCAGACACCCCCTGCACCGCACTGCAGAGGCTCCTCCCGCCCTGGCCCACCTGGTCCCCCTGGCTGCTGACACACCTCCCCTGTGTGCATGTCACCCTGTGGCTGATGCTCAGGGACTTCTCAGACTCCAGGATCACTCCAGGTACACTGGCCACGCTGTGAAGGCCACACTGCTCCACTTCCATCCATCCTCAGGTTTTCAGCTACCCAGCCCCCCCAGCCTCTCGGAATCTCAGTTCCCTTATATATAAAATGGGTGGAATACAATACTGCTTTACCTGACAAGTTAGGGGCAGGACTGAATGAAGCCTCAGCAGTAAAACAGGTCCCAGGCACAGGGCCTGGCACACAGGTGCTCAAGAAAGGACAGTCCCTTCTTCTGGAAGGGCCCTCCAAGAACACATAGAAGGTAAGTCACCGTCCCTGGTGAGAGGGAGCACAAGGACCATCTGCACTGCTGGTGGGAAGGGGAGGAACCCTGGGGGTCACTGGGGTGGGCGCAGAGCCAAGAACCTATTGCCATTCCTACACCAGGCTGAGACCCTCTAACTGACCCTAGCTTGCCCTCTCGCCTATCCCCTTCATCAGCTGCGGGGCCCCATCTATAATGAGGTGAACCAGCTGGTCCCTCCCTCCCAGGCCACCCTACCCAGGGAGAGCTTTGGGATAACCCCAGCAAAGGCAGGCAGCCCCAGCCCACGCTGCTTACCCACCGGGCCCACACACACCAGCCTGCTGCACAAACTGCAATGCGAGCCGAGGACCAGGAATCTGCCCTTGTCGGAGGTGAAGGGGTCCTTCATGACATAGCTTTCCTCCAGGAGGCTGCAGAAGAGAGATGCCAGCTGTAGAACCGCCCAAATATCTGTTGTCGGAAAATCAGCCATAAGCAATGGCCATGCAGCAGCAGCCTGGACCTCCGCAGGGCCTGCACACCTGCGCGGGCTCAGGGGGGCAGGGGCGCTGCAGGACAGTGACAGGATCAGCAATTGGGGACCACACCGGCATTGAAATTGGACCTGTTTTCACCTTCACCTTTCTAACAGCTGTGGTAGAGAGAAACCCTTGTTCTCAGCCAAAAGAAGGGCTGCTCCAACATGAGCCCCCAGGCCCTGACTGATTCCCCAGGGTGGGGCACAAGGCCACCATCTAAGCACGCCAGGCCTCCCCTACACCCCAAGCCACTTGCTTCCACGAGGGAGAACACACCCTCACAGTCCCTGGAGGCCAGGTGGCATCCTGCCACACATCAGAATGACACCACAGGGTGGCATGATGACAGTCAGGCTCCCAGTCAGCAGAGGGACAACAGCCAGGAGGAAAAAGCCATGCCCCACCACTGTATCCCATTTGTGTAACACACCAGCCGGCTTTCCAACAAAGTAGCATTTGATGAAGGACAAGCTGGAGGTCGAGATAAGCCCCTGGACCCACGGGCTCTAGTCCACGTCTGCAAGGACGACGGGCCTCCCACTAAGAAAGTGGGCAAGGGCACAGCCCCAAATGGGGAGGCCACCACAGCTCCTCACGGCTGCTGAGCTGCTTCCCCACAGCTACAGCAGGTGTTGGACTCTGGGTTAGGTGTGGAGGAAGGTTCTAGAAGAGTCAGACACACCCCAAGCTTTGCCCAGGCCTCCAGAGATTACAGTGGAAGTATCCAGAGCCTGGGCAGGGTGGGACCTAAAGAGCCACACCCAAGCTGGTGTCAGACCTAGGCCCAGCACCCACCAACCAGCACTGGGCACAGGCTTCCCTAGCACTGGCCCAAAGGGCATGTACTCACACCATCGACTGGGTGTTGGGGGGCTTCTGCCCAACGTAGCTATAGGGAGCTGTCAAGGCACAGAGTTCACACTCAAACACTCCCAGAGGACTGCATTCTGCATGGGATGCCATCTGCAAGATCAAGAGATGGGTGTCCCTGGGTCACAGGCTTTCTCAGGAATCCTGCCACTTCCTCAGCTGTGAAGACCCTAATGATATAGTCCTAAGACAGTTTTCTGCCTCCGTACTGTACCCTGGGGGATCCCTTTTCTCTATCCCCAGCTGAAACAGGTTTTTACCGGTGCCCACAGTGACAGGATTTGGGACCCATATCCCAGTGGTTTAAGGTTTTTGTACTGCTAGAGAGGATCCAGACAGGATCCAGCTGGAGCAGCCATCTCTTCCTCCAAGGCTGCAAGACGGCCAAAGCCTTCTGGCCTCCTGCTCTGCCTCAGTCTTAACCACCAGCACCCAGTGAATGCTGGTGGAAAAGAGCCCAGTGTGGGTGCAAACTCTCCTGTTTCTCAAAAGCTCTATGCCCTCTAGTCCACACATGGTATACAGCACTTCATTAAAACTGTCTTCTTAACTGCTGGTATGGAACCCCCTTCTTATGTTCACTGTTGGGTCTTGGAGGCCTCTCTTTCCTTACATTTCTGGCTAAATGGTTGCCATCTGATGGGTTCACCAAAAGTTACGATATTGCCGATTACCCAGCTCCTTGACTATGGAATCAAGTACAACATTAGCAGCTGGCCCCGGGCTCCTGGCTGTGACCTCCCCTCGCCTGAACTGGGCCTGGTGTGTAAAGGCCAATCAAGTGGTATGGGTTTTGCCGCTGAGTGACCCCAGATGCAACTCCAGGAAACCTGGGCTACCAATGACTTTACGATCCGGCCGGCCGGGCATGGTGGCTCACGCCTGTAATCCCAGCACTTTGTGAGGCCGGGGCGGGCGGATCACCTGAGGTCAGGAGTTAGAGACCAGCCTGGCCAACATGGCAAAACACGTCTCTACTACAAGTACAAAAGTTAGCCGGGCATGATGGCCGGCGCCTGTAATTCCAACTACTCGGGAGGCTGAGGCAGGAGAATCTCTTGAACCCGGGAGGCGAAGGTTGAAGTAAGCCGAGATCGCGCCTGGGCGACAGAGTGAGACTCCGCCTCACAAAA